TAGATAGATAGATAGATAGATAGATAGATAGATAGATAGATAGATAGACAGACAGACAGACAGATAGATAATAGGATGGATAGATAAGACAGGGTAGATAAATCGATGGATAAGAGATAGACAGACACAGAGAGATAGGACATATGATTGCATATATTTTTTTAAATGGTGTGTTTACACACACAAAACACCCACCCCACTCAAGCGAATGAAGAATAGACTCACGCTCTACACACCCACAGCCGGCGCTGCCATCTTACCCGCTCGGGTCTCCCCGCAGCAACGGTGAGCGGGGCGAACGCGGGCCAATGGCGAACCACGCCTCGGTGCGGGGCAGTCCTTCCGGCGCGTTGCCGTGGCGCCGGCGCGGCCCACGCCTGCGCAGAGGGCGTCAGGGCGGGAGCGCGTCCCGCCCGCCCCCGCGGGGCCGCCTTTAAAGGCAGCGGCCGCGGCCCGGCCGGCCGTCCCCGTCGCCGCCTCAGGAGTGCCGCCATCATGTACCGCCGCCTGGGAGAGTTGCTGGCGCCCGCCCGTGCTGCTGCTGCCGCCGCCTCGGCCTCTTGCCCGCCCTGCGCAGAGCCCTGCGCGGCCTCGGCCTTGCATCTGGCGGGGGCGCCCGGGGAGTCCCGGCGGGGCTACAGCCAGGCGGTAAGCCGCGAGGAGGCCTCCGAGGACGACCCGAACTTCTTCCGCATGGTGGAGGGCTTCTTCGACCGCGGCGCCGGCATCGTGGAGGACCAGCTGGTGTCCGGGCTGCGCACCCGCGAGAGCGCGGAGGAGAAGTTGCACCGCGTGCGGGGTATCCTGCGCATCATCAAGCCCTGCAACCACGTGCTGAGCGTCTCCTTCCCCATCAAGCGCGACAACGGCGAGTGGGAGGTGGTGGAGGGCTACCGCGCCCAGCACAGCCAGCACCGCACGCCCTGCAAGGGAGGTGAGCCCTTTCACACGTGCCCTCGCCGACACGCGTCAGAGAGGGAAGCAGGCAGACACGCGTGCAGGGCGGGCGCCCCGCCTACTCTCACCCTTGCAAAGGATCCGGGCCCTGTCGGGGCCGCCCTGCGTCCCTTCCGCGGCAAGGCTTCCCCAGACGCGGGTCTTTGGGCGTCGCCGCTTCTCTGAAATAAACACGGGTGTTGTTGTTTATTCCCCATACGTGGCCCGAGGAGATTTCCTTCCCCATCTCTGGGTCTCTTTTGGCCGTCGTGTGTGTGGCATACGAGGAAAGGAATGGGCACTCCCCCTTTAGGGTCCAGCCTGGCACAAATGCACGAGCTCTCTCTCTCTGTTGTACTTTTGCTGGGAGTTAAAATGGATTTTATTTATCTTATTTATCCTGCAGAAATCTCTTGGAGAGCGATTGGTTTGCTAATGTACAGAAAGCCCTACAAACATTTATATGGATAGGATAATAAACGGTTCTCCATTGTCATTTTACTGCATCGTGTGACACACACACACACNAGTTTGTTCTTTCTCCTTAATTGCTAATGTTAGTCTATTCATTTCTGCACATTCTAATATTTTCCTGGAACACCCACAACTTCTGGAGGAGATATTGCATTGATTGATTTTTCTCATTGTCAGGAAATTTCTCCTTATTTCTAGTTTGGTTGTCTCCTTGATTTCATTGCTCTCTGTGCAAATCATTTGACAGCTTTTTTCATTCAGTGATAGTCTCCTTAAACCCAACTGTACATATTATTTTGTCAGTATTCTGCTTATTGCTTCAAATATTGCATAATAGCTGCCTGTTAGTGCTGGTTTGATCACAGTTGGATTTTCCAGACGAACAACAGCATATACAGTGTTGAAAAATGAACCCTTATAAATAATACTAGGTTAATTAAAAAAGTATTTACAGAATTACGGAAGCGAAGTTGGGACCTGGGTCTGTAGTCAGGTTGGATTCCTGCTTAAAAACAGACATGAAGATGATAATTCAATCCTTGAACAAAATGACTCACATTGTGGATTTGCATGGTGGAACAAATATCAGAGCTGGTAGAATTAGTGACAAATTTTGCTTTTATTTTTTCTATCGCCAAAAGATTGCGCAAAATACCGTGTTTCCCCAAAAATAAGAAAGGGTCTTATTTTCTTTTGACCCCTGAAATAAGCCCTTGGCCTTATTTTTGGGGAGGTGTTATAATTTTTTTCATGTGCAGGAGACGGCGAGCGTGGTCATCTCATGGATGCTGCTGTGTTGCAATATTTTTGGGGAGGTCTTATTTTTGGGAGAAGGCTTATTTTAACACATGCGCTCAAAAGGCCTATTGGGCTTATTATCCGGGGAGGTCTTATTTTTGGGGAAACATGGTAGATTTCATTGTATTTGACCTCCCTGCTAAATTGCTTTTTTTTAATGGTTCTCTTCCTTCTTGTGCTGGTGGCTGATTTCTTACTGACAGGTGACACAGGGCATCAGTTGCTAACATTCATATTTCTTTTAAACAGGTATTCGTTACAGCACGGAAGTGAGTGTTGATGAAGTAAAAGCTTTAGCTTCTCTTATGACATATAAGTGTGCAGTAGTTGGTAAGTAATTCTAAATTAACTTCACTCTAAAGCCCTAAGCCTTTAATTTTGTCAGGAAGATATTTATGAGCTGTGTAGGATATTATTCCCATATAAGAGCTAGGAGTTTGAGGGAGTAAGAAAGATCTATCTTGCTCTAGTGAGCTCCTTGAGAACGTATGCGGAGTAATGGCCTGTGAGGGAGGTGACCTCTCTCCACAGATGGCGTGGGTGGGCTGAGCTTGTAAAGTAATTGTCTATGCTTTCCTGGGGATTTTAAGTTTTCTTTTCTGTTTTCTTGGGCCTGAAAATGAAGGATGTCCCTGGGAGTAGAGATGTCTGCTTTGCCAATTTTAGGGCATTTTAGAGATAACATTTCTAGCCTTCATCCAGCCTCAGCACGCAGCTCCTTTTCAGTTTATGAAACAGAGAAAAATTGATTAAATCTGATGTAATGCAAGATTTTTAAACTCCTGTCTGTCTTAGCTGATCAAAATTAGCAAAGCAAGAAAGAGTGGTGCCACTGGTCTTAAAAAGGCCTGAATTCAGATGCTTCTTCAACTACTGTTAAGTGGCACAACTAAACCTTTGTAGAGGTTTCCACACTTAATTAAATGCTACACTATATAAAAGAATTATCCTGTTTTTCATATGTAAATAATTCTTGTAAAAAAATAATTCTGAATCTCGTCTTTTCATTATGGTGAATTATGTTAAACTAAATCATTGTTGTCGTATTGCATTTTCTTTCCTTCTTTTTCATTTTCTGTTGATATCTCTGTGACTAATTCCTAAAAGTGGAAAAGACCAGACAGGGGAGTTAGCGATAAAATAAATCTTTACCATCTTTACATTCTTGTCCTTTGGTTTTTTTTTTAACTTAAGCGTGAACATTTGTTTTCAGATGTGCCATTTGGTGGTGCAAAGGCTGGTGTTAAGATCAATCCTAGGCTATATACAGTAAGTTCAAATTCCAGAAAAATATGCTTTTAATCGGCATGATATCTGAGGAGCTGTTTTCTTAACATAGACCACTAGAATTCTATATATGTTCTTGGGCTGGAGAGATTAATTGCATACGTTCATGCCTATCATACCTTTCAGATAAGCAATAATAACAAGGAAAGTTGCCAGATAAACTTATGAATGCTGCCTGCAATTATTTTTGTCAATTGAGGCTGTCATCTTTTTTTTCTCAAATAAAAGGAATGACTTACTTAAGCAGCCGAATTGTACCCATATCACTACAAGTAGTCCTTGGCTTACGACCACAATTGAGCCTAAAATTTCTGTTGCAAAGCGAAACATTTGTTGTAGGTTTTGCCCTGTTTCACGATCTTTCTTGCCACAGTTGTTAAGTGAATCACTACCGTTGTTAAGTTAGTCACACGGTTGTTAAATGAATCCGGCTTCCCCATGGACTTTGCTTGTCAGAAGGTCGCAAAAATTGATCAGATGGCCCCGGGACACTGCAACCGTCATAAATGTGTGTCAGTTGCCAAAAAATCTGAATTTTGATCTAGTGACCATGGGGATTCCGCAATGGTCATAAGTGTGAAAACGGGCATAAGTGACTTTTTTCAGTGCCGTTGTAACTTTGAACAGCCACTAAATGAACTGTTGTAAGTCGAGGACTGCCTGTATATGAGGAAGGATGCAGTATTGGTCAGATGTTGAATGTTTTGGCCAATATGCCAATAAACGACCAGTTTACTTAATATGTTGTCATTCTACACAAGTTAGAATGTAAAGTTTAGCCTATTTTGCAAGCTAACATATGTTTTGGGGGTATGTGCTGTGCAGTGATGAACGCTTAGGATAAGAATGAAATAAAAGGGATTTATCCCAGTCGCAAGGTTTTAACATACAGGGTGGCTCAGAATCATTGCAATAGAATATTGTAATCCTTAGTTTTATTTATGGTGTGTTTCTAGCAATCCTAAAGTGGCAGTTGATGTCATTAAAAGTCATTGTTAAAGTTAAGTGTGGACTTTGGGCGTTGCTTATTCACCTCCCAGATATTCAGTCTCTTCTTTTGTTGTTGTAGGATAATGAATTGGAAAAAATCACACGGCGGTTTACCATAGAACTGGCAAAGAAAGGCTTCATTGGTATGTAATGCTGGAATATCTGTATTGATTTGGATGAGAAGAATAATTCAGCAGTACTAGATAGTACAACTGTGCCCCCCCCCCCAAATAAAATACTGGTAATTTGAATGTGATAGTGCCTGTTGTGAAGACACTCGGAAGGACAAGAATGCTTTTGTTTCCTTGTTTTAATTATTGTATTTTTTACACTATAAGACACACGTTAGCTTTAGAGGAGGACACACCTCTGTTGCTAGGGCTCCCCAGCTTTTGACTCAGTCCCTCAGCGAGGACAGGCATATCAAAATTTTCAACATAAAGCAAAGCTAGCTGGGGAATTCTGGGAGTTGAAGTCCTCCAGGCTTAAAGTTGCCAAGGCTGGAGACCCCTGCTGTAAGTGATTGAATGGAGACGTTTCCCTCCATTTAGACCATGAATCATTGCATCCATGAATAAAGACAACATTACTTCCAATGGCTTGGCAGCATTAACCCTAACATAACTGTAAGCAATATCACAGCTGATTCTTCTGGTTTTCCCTGGATGGAACTGATTTGTGTTTAATGGTGTCCCGTCTTTGTTCCCGGCTGTGCCAAACAGGGCCTGGTGTGGATGTGCCAGCTCCTGACATGAGCACCGGTGAAAGGGAGATGTCGTGGATTGCAGACACCTATGCTAATACCATAGGGCACTATGTAAGTTCTGAACAAAAGCTTCCCTTATGGTGCAGTGGCCTTCCCACCTGTTCTTCAAGTTCTGTACAATCTAACTGTTCTGACCTAGACTTCCCCAGCAGCACGAAGCTGAGTCCTTGTCCCGATAAATCCCTTTTATTTAATTTACAGTGAATTCCTCTCCAGCAAAGTCCCGGCCCACAGTCTTTCAAAATAGTTCACAATTACCAACTTCATCAGGCTTGGAGAGTAGCCAGGCCAATATCTTTCAGATGCCACAATACTTTGTAAGAATGCAGGAATGAACTAATTGTCTCCTGCAAACTNCTCTTGAAAAAGCACATTTGGGACTTCACACCCTCCCTTTTTCTGTATTTAATTTGTTAATTGTTTTATCTTATTTGTCTTTTTAATAAGGCTTGTTGGTAATTGCAAATTGGGATAAGGCAGTCTTCCTTCTCTGTAACATTAAAATTTCACACCAACTTATATATTATCCATTGTTCACATAATGCGTAAGTAACAGAAGCAACGCTAGCAGTTTCTGGTATAGTCCATGGATTTGACAATAGTGAGACCCCTCTAATATAACCATATCACATGCTTTGGATTTTGGTATATTTCGGGGGTGTCGCTGAATTATTCCTTGACAAATAAAATTATGAAAGAAAAATTACTATGTTTTAAAGCTTGATCATCTGTAATAAAGTTTAAACCTTGAATCTTTGGAGGTCCTTTAAATAATTCCATTGGGGTATTGAACTAATTTGAATTGCTGGTCCATGGCAACATCCCTATCTTTAGAAAGTAGTACATGTTGTGATGTTGAAAAACCTTGAACAAAGTTTTGATTTCTAGTCAGGAATTCTTGACTACCATACTTTGACTTTTGGAAGGATGTTTTGTAAATTCAAGAAGCAGGAATCTATTTCCAAACTTTATTGAGTATTCCTTGATAATAAATTACGCCCTATTTTTTTTGAAAATTCAGATACGTATTCTTTTAAACCATAGTAAATAAAAATCTGATATGACATTTAGCAAGAAGCAAGAACAAGTATTAAAAATGGAAATGTGGAATAAAAAGTAAAGTGTTCTTTTGCCTTTTGTAAAATCTGTGAATTCTCATAAGAATCAATGATTGTATTTGGCATATTTATAGTTGATGATTTTAATGTTTTTATCATGTAAGCCTGGCTGTTTCAGAGCAGATATATTTGCCCAAAATCCCAAGATTGGTTTTTTTGGAGTGCTTTTAGAAACAACTCAGGGCTATTTCATCACCTGAGAAATATTTTCAATCTGTATTCCAAATCAACTGGACTAATTAGGTATATATCTTACTATGCTTCGCTGAATTTTTGGATTTCATTTTTAAATGGCTGTGGTTATCCAAACCTGCACATTGTGACTTCTAAGAGCATCTCTAGATATGCCATTAAATTAACTAATAAAAACTGGTTTGCTTCCTAAATATTTATTAAAAACTTAAAAAAAATACATTTTCAATAATGGAAAGAAAAGCAACAGCATCATGAATAGATTAAAAATACTTAGCCTTAATTTTGTAAGGATTTTTTAAAAGGCTATTCTCTCTGTTTTCCCTCTCCCCCTGTCCCCCCCTTTTCTCTCAGCTATAAGGAAAATCATGCAAACAATCCACAATAAATCATAATACAGTAAAGAGTGCACTGGTGTTAGTTTGCCTGTATGATCATGTGCTTAGAGGTTGTGCTTCAGAAGAAACTACAGCTGCTCCTATTTATCATATGGACAGCTGTCCAGAGAACTAAAAGTGTCCTAACAAGGTACAGGAAACAGGAATGACCTTCTAGTAATGGAGCGCCCTATGTTAATCTCTACTCTTTATCCAGACTCTAGCAGAGATACCCTATCTTAAAGGAGACCATTGTTCCTGTAGAAACAATCATGTTGAATAAATAGTCCTGTTGACATTTTGTCTTTGTTTTTGTACTTTGGATCAACTACTAGAGCTGTGATGGCGAACTTATGGCACATGGAACCATATTTGCCGGCACTGCAGCCTCAACTCCGGCGCACACTGTCCAGCTGATTTTCAGCCTTCCNGGCTTACACTATCCTGGTTAATCTTTAAACACTTGTGTAGTCCTCTTCAGCACAAGAACAGGAGATAATGGGCCTTGAGTATGGAAGTCACTGTAAGAATGAGCTGGCTATCAAAGAACCTTATAGCATTTTCCCTTAGTTGCTTCATACTAGGATATACCCTGGGATAAGAGGGGGAATTAAAGCCTTAATACTTGAAACAGAGATGGCTTCTTTGGTAGTTTAGCTGTTTATTGTGTGACTAAACAGTAAACAGAAAGGCCGGTGTGTTACACAGTGGCAACAAGATTGCCTTTGATGCTGTGTGGATCCCACAGGCATTCTTGCAAGGAAAAGGAGTGTAAGCAGTGCTCTTTGTTTGAACCACCCCTCCCTTAAAGGAGGCAAAAAGTAAGCTGAGAGTTGGCAGTATATACCCCTGCAGGCTAAAGAGAACATCTTTGGATATTGTGTGATTCATCACACCCATGTTTGTTTGAGCTACAGTTTTCTGTAAGAGCTCAAAGCTATCTTCCTCCAGTTCTCCCCAAAACAGCGAAGTTTCTCTGTAAGTTTGCACTGAGGAAGAGTTAAGAGGCTCAATCACGCACTGGGTTTGTGTGGCTGTTTGTCCCCATCCCAATTCAACGCACTAGACTTACTGTGAATGTTGCAGTTAAAATGAATTGGAAAAACCACTCAGACATTTGTTTATCTTTGGTGTGCCGTCATTGACTTGTTCATATGTAGTATATCAGGCAGTTGATGATTGGTTAAGGACAAAACTGGCCAGAATGGTGAGAATTGCAAAACATCCTTTCCAGAGTGTTATCTGATTCCTTAGATAAAAAAAACCTGCGCCAAAGGTTAGAAAGGTATATTTTTATATAATGGAGACATACCATCCTCTGGAGGAGATTTGGCTCCTCCCTTCAGTCCCCTGTGTGATAAACAAGCTTTCTGCAAGTTCCGACAATTTCCTGCAGTCCATAGTTCATCCTTGTTTGAGTTTCACGAGAAAAAGAAAAGTTTTCCGTGGAGTTTGCAGGAGCCTGCCGTTCCATAGGTTTGAAAGAGACTACTAGGTTGCCCAAGAGCCAATTAATTGCTGGAAATTTGTGTTTTGGGTGCTTTATTTTTGTTCAGTTGCTTGATCTTCAGAGAGTAAGAACACTCAGGGTTTATATCAGCATATCAAAATGTATATTTTTATTTGATCATGAGGTTTACAAAAGAAACGCTGAAGAACCTCTGTAGAAGGTTTCAGATGTGAAGTTTATGCGACTGGGAAATAGGGTCTCTTGGAATTCTTTGAATACGAGTGGTCCAAGTTTAGCTTGTCCAGATTAGTTTGGACACAAGGTTTAAAAATTCCATTGTGGCCACTGAAACACATTGAATAAAGTAATTGTTTTGATCAAGATATTTTGTCCTTTAACGTTTACATAGAAGGAGGATAATTTCAAAAATTACTCAAGGCAAATGCAATATTTTCTTGCACTTTCTGGCATCCAGATTGGTTTCTTGGTGTGCTTGGTGTTGTAACAATAATCTTGACATAACTATCGCCACATAATACAATCTCTCCAAAGTTGCTGACAAAGTTCTACATCCCAATGTCATTCTCTTAAAAACCATAATATTTTCCCCAACCTATGTAGGAAACCAAAATCCATTTAATATCGATCTCCAAATCCTTGTAACCAAAAAGAAAAGTCTTGCTTGAGGAGCTTCAGTAAATTGAATTGCCTTCTTTGAGCTTCCCAGTGCTGGTAAATAACAGCAGCTTCCAAGAACCCTGCAGATATTCTGTATTTTAGTGTGGTGGACTGCATGACTCTCCCATACCAATCTCTAGGCTGCCAAAGCAGCTTTAGAGTGTTTTAATTATTTGCTTGTGAATGTTTTCTACAAAGAAGGGAAGGTTGGGAAAGATAATAGATTCATAACATGGATATGACGTGCCTATGGTCATTGTTGCTTTTTGGCCTAGGTGATGTTTAGAAGACACAAGTAATCCAAGAGTAAAATAGACCCACTGTCAAGCGATAGGGAAATCAAAAGATCCAGGCAGTTCAAATGNCTCCTAACGCAGGGGATACGAGAGCTTCTCTACCACGGTACCTGCTCCTTGGAAACTTGCAAATCGGTTAATTTCTATCATTTTGTTTTATAAGCTGCCATAATGTAGGGCAAGCCCTTGTCGCATCCTTTTTCTCCCCAGACCATCAGCTCCTCCTAATATAATGTATCGACTCAAATGCAAAGGCCGCACTGGATTCTCTTCCCTCTGCTAGTTTCTCTGTATTGGACCTATAAATCAATAAAGATGCACAGTGAGGAGGAGATCTTGGCATGCTTGCAAAGACTGATGCCCTGAGAGTTGGCCATAGATGCCACTTGAAATTAAATAATATTAGACTTTGAGAAAACCAGTCCATAATAAATAAACTGTGCTAGTAATTTGTAGGTAGTTCATTGCAATATACCTGGCAGTCACTTATTGAGGTGGTTGTTTTTGCAGAGTTGATAATGTGTCTTTAGCTGTTAACAAAGTGACATAAAATTATGAAAACAATTAATCTGTTGACATAAATTACATCTAGGCTGCATTAGTCCTGTAATGAGACCATGCCCAATTCTAAAAATGGTCAATATTTAATAATAATAGAAAGCTCTGCTTTCTGATTTTAACAACTGTGTTATCATCGACTAGGCAAGATCATCTTTTTGGAAATACAGTGCCAGCTTTTCTTTTGAATTCAGTTTTGTAATCATTTTCAACTAGAAAACGGGAAAATTGGAGACGAGGGTGGTTTTTTTTGGCCACCAAGAAAAAGTGCTTTCTTTCAAAATTCTTTTAATTATTCATGCATGAGCAAGCAATTAAATTATATTACACTTCGGTTCATCTGAGTTAACATTTTGCTTATTCAGTGTGACCATGGAAACTGTTTTCTAAACAGCCTCTTGAATGACTCTGTGGACTTCTCTCACATAATTTTACTTGAGATGGATACTTTAAACTTTGGCCAAAAAAAAAAAAATCACTCCGGATTGCAAGGCTATAAAGTTTCAATTAAGTGACAAATGGTACATGCAAAAAGCCTTCAAATGTTTGTTTTCCTGCACACACATTGTGGAGAGAAGAAAAGGAGAGAACAATTTGCTCTTTAGTATTCTAGTCAGTAAAGCTGCAGCTCTAAATAACTTTTCCCTTTTTGGCTAGTTTTATTAAGAGCAGTTTTGCTGCCTTGATGAGCTGGCATTTTTCTCTGGATGTAGCAGATTGCTAAAAATAGCCATTCTTGCTCTTGGGTCTAACACTTCACTGAAAACTCCTTATTTTATATCATAATTGGGAATATAATCCATAGTTTGTTGCATAAAGGATTTAATTTATTACTCATGTGACTGGTGCAGTTTGTGAATTTAAAAGATTTCTCTTTTTTTGATACGGATTAGCTGTGTATGATAAAATGCTTCTTTATTTGAAGTGTGAGATCTCGTCTGCTTTGCTTTTTCAAAGATTTTTGTGACACTCAAAAGCTACTAATAGACAATAATTGATTTAAAAAAATATGTGGTTTATAGGATGTTCTGATTGAAAGTCAATGGAGATTCTTAATCATCCAGGTCATGGTTGTCCCAAAGGTGCTTTTTCAAAAGGCAAGTGGACTTTCTTTTTTTCCTTGAAGTTGTTTTGTTTCTCATCCAAGAAGCTTCTTCAGTTCTGACTGAATTCTGATTCAGTCAAGCTGAAGAAGCTTCTTGATTCAGTCAGAATTGAAGAAAATTCTTGGACGAGAAGCAAAACATCTTCAAGGCAAAACAAAGAAAATCAACTTGCAGTTTGAAAAAGCATCTTTGGGATTCTGATTGAAAGCTTATTAGATGAAAAAAAGGACTAGGTGTGGCATGATAGCAATATTCTGATATCTCAGGGGCTGCCCCAAAGAAGAGGGAGTCAAACTATTCTCCAAAGCACCTGTGGGTAGAACAAGAATTTTC